TCATCAAGGTACTAGCGTCTGTTCCACAAATTCAGGCTTAAGAAAGGGTAGTCTAGGAAAAGATTCCGTTTCATCACTGGACAGTCAACTCCTACTAGAAACTAGGGATGTTAAATGTTGATTGACTAATTGAATAGGAGATGCAACTTGCATCGACTATTCAAAGTAGGTCGGGGGAGTCCCCACCTTATCCCGGACTCCACAGGGCACTGCCACTTTGAAATGCCGCAAATAGCCAAGCATCAGGCTCCCCACGGCGTTTCAAAGTGGCAGTGCCGCATGGAGCCTGGGATCATCTGGGGACTCCCCTGCTGATCCCAGGCTCCGTGCAGTGCTGCCACTTTGAAATGCCATGGGGAGCCCAGCATCAGGCTCCACGTGGCTTCTGAAACTCTGCGTGCAGCCTGGGGATACCGCAGCTGGCCCTGGGCTGCACATGGTGTTTCAGGGCGGCACCATGTAGTGCTGCTGCTTTGAAACGCTCCCTAATTGCCTCTTTCTGATAGAGGCAGAAAGGGGGGGAAGTGACTAGTCGACTAGCTGTTCACATCCCTAACAGAAACCAGTCATTTATTGTTACTTGCACATGAAGTGTGCATTTCTTTCATTTTGCATTTTAATATACATTAGTTATTTTATTAAACTCTGTGTAACCTTTATGCAAGTTCCTTATAAAGATTTTTTTCTGTTCTCAAAATTATATGGACATTTCAGACTTAAAAACGTTACTATATTGAAGCAACTAATTTTGCCTTTAAAATTCCCTCCTTTCCAGTTGACCTATATTGTAGTCCATTAGTTCTGGGTACTAGCAGGGGCGGATATAGAGCAGGGCGAACGGGGCGGCCGCCCCAGGCCCCGCGCTTAAAAAAGCCCCGCGCATGCGCCGTGGCAAAGGGGGGGCCCCGCGGAGTTACGCTGCCCGGGGCCCCGCAAAACAGTCATCTGCCCCTGGGTACTAGACAGGGTATTCCCCTCAGGAATTTCATATTTGGTGCAGCCTCAGACAGAATATGAACATTTGCTGCACAGATGCTATGGATCAATGAACACCCTCCGTGCACAATTCTGTTTTTATAAAAAAAAGATAAACACCTGTATATAGTCAAAGCCTCTCCTCCCCCCAAATATATGTACACTGTATATAAACTCTGAACATCACATGAAAGGATGACAAGATTTTATTGCTTTATTACCATTACTGCAGCTAAATTACTGCTCTGAGCCCTGAAAAAAAAAAGGGGGGGATTTCTTCAGCCTAGGAAAGGCCCCCCCAATGTGCAGCCCAAGTACTGGAAAAATCTAAGTTACTAAAGACGCAAATAATTACACCACCTGCCAAAAACTACAGTTTTCTAAAAGCTCTTCCCAGTATTTTGGTGAACAGTTCAAGCACTCAAACCACAAATTACGAACAATCTGTCATACTAAACACATTTGGCTTAAGAGGTTTTCAAAAAATAATATAGTTATTTTACTATGATTGTTCAAACAGATAAGGAGACACACTGCTACTCAGAAAAGCACTTCAGAACTTGCTGGAGTACCTTTCTATTCACACCATTTCAGCATATGTTTAAGTATGTGCTTAAATCTCATTGACTTCTATGGACCCCTTAGCAGTATTGCCCACTCTTGCGATTTTATCACTAGTCTTCCAATATTTGGTGGGGTTTTTTTTATTCCCATCTCTTGCAGAAATCAGAGAGAATGGGAAACTCAGCTTTCATTTAAACAAAGGCAAATTTCTCATCGTGCTTGTGAACAAGTGCTTGAAAATTAAACCTAAAAGATCAAACACCAACAGGCAAATAAGAAGCAGCAAAAACAAAATGTATTATTTGTAAAGTATCAGGATTTGGGGGCTGACTTGTCAGCCCCATGTGCTGAAAAAAAGTCACAACACTGCTTTATGCAGGCGCAGAAGTGCTGATCTGAATAGGGATCATAGTCCCTGCCCCAAAGATGCTGCAATCTAGTTCAGGGACGGATTAACGGTTCAGTTGCAGAATACACCAGATGCCCGTCTGAATGTAAGTGGTGCAGGCATCTTGCAGAGATGAAAGAAAATACTTTGTCTCACTCTGTAACCTGTTTGTCAGTGTCAGCACCACTTCCAAACTCAGGATTAATTTTCCCACAGAAAATAAACTGCAGAGCTAACCAGTGAATCAAATAAATACTCTCACAGTGTTAATTTTAAATTTTAAAATACAATGTGGGTATGCTACTATTACACATCACTTTAATTAAACTATCATTACTTTCCAAAATTCTATAAATCCCCATGAAAGAATCAGTCATTTGTTTTAGGCCATGCGACGACATGATAAAAATGACAAATACCCTGATCATATGAATGAAGTGTATCTAAAACAAGCTCTGTTCCAAAGAGATGTTTAATCCATTCTCTGCTTTGGGGGGATAAAATGGAATTAAACACAGGGGATTTATTTCATGAAATGCATGGTTTGGGCTGCAGGTTTGTTGTGATAAAAATTCCATGGGTCCACAACTTCTCTTTGGGTCTGGGATTTCACAGGCTGAAGAGCTAGGAGGGTTACCTGGGTTATGGAATGACCATGTTTGTGGTCACACAAGCTCAGAGCACATAACAAGGCAGCACCAGGAAGGGAGCAGGGCATGCTATATAAGAGCCAATGGGCTGGGCCAGCACAGTGAGGCAGTAGCGGGGGCGGGGGGGGGGGGGGCACACCAAGATTCTGGTAAGTGATCAAGGGCCATACATTTCTATAGAGGAGGTGTGGGGTCTGGGATGGAGGTTGTGTAGAAGGGAACTCGGGATAGGAGACTGGGGTGCAGGAGGAGATGTGGGGTTTGAGAGGGAGTTTGGATGAAGGAGGGGGTTGTGACCTGGGGCAGGGGATTCGGGTGTAGTTCTAAGAGAGGGTAGGGATGCAGGAGGACTGCCAGAGGTCCCCTGAACAGAAGAGATTTTGAAAGACTATATCTTTGAAGTGGGGAAACCTGAGTGACGGGGCTAGAGGGCTGAGTGACAAAGAGCTCCTGGAGTGAGTGAGGTGCTGTGGACCAAGAGAAGACAGAGAGATGGTGTGCAAATGCAGCATCATGGATCTAATTCCCAGAACAGCCAGGAGGAGGTGTCATTGCAGTAAGTGGACCACCCCAAACCTACATCAACTGGAGACAGGGTGTATGCCACTCACATTCAAGGCTGAAATGGAAAGAATCTGTGCCAAGCACAAAAATTTTAGACATTGGCTCTTCTTAGCTCTTCCACAAGAATTAAAGTATATTGGGAACGCAGAATACAGTCTTATACATGTGTGCTCTTCTTCCAAATACAGTAGGCATAATGAATGCACAAATGTGATGCACATGTGGCACAAAATGTTTCATCCAAAAATTTATGTTTGGATTATATTGAAATTGAGGGAGGAGGAAAGAATTAAGTATTCCAGAAGAATGCAGTATAATACAGATACTTATTAAGCTGAGTTTTATTGACTCATGATGTAAAATACTACCCAACTACGGCACAAGCAGATTCACCTCAGGAAGCATCAAATCTTGATTTTTATTGTACTGGAAAAACTAGTATTTGACCATATAATTAAAGAGTGCATAATAATACATACAGAATAAAGGCTCTCCATTCTAGAGCTCTCATTTTTGAGAATTTGATTTGCAATCTAAACAATCTTCATTATGTGGAAAAGAGGGAGGAGGGAGATGTTTCCGTATTTTTTTTTAGGTAGAGAAAAACCAATTCTATTATGCATAACTGTCATGCATCACTAGATCATCAGGGCTTGAACTTTATAACTTCAGGACAGACCACTGAGAAAGTGTGATTAAATCCAGCTTTACAGAGCTACATCGTTACAACTGTATTGTGCAGGGGTGTGAATAATCCTGAACAATGTAATTATACCAGTCTAACTCCCCATGTAGACAGAGCTATAATGACAGCAGGGTTTCTCCCATGGGCATTGCTATTGCCTCTCAGGAAGGTGGATTAACTAATCCAATGGGAGAAGCTCTCCAACTCACTAAAGCAGTACAGAGGTACAGCTACATTGATCCAGAATTTGACTTGTCCAATGTGGCTTTCTGGTCTATTATATTACAGCTCTGAGTTTTATTTACAGCTTGTACAACTTCTTAGCAGTATATTAGGCCTTGCTAGGCTGTGAAATCACAGATTGAATGACATAGCCAGTAGAAATGAGACTTGAACTTCTGGTACTGTGTATTTTCCAGTAGGCCAAAAGGTACTGTGGCTGGGAGAGGGGGTAGCTACATAATTTAGTTTGCCTGTGTCTCAGAGGAGGTTCAGCTCTGTGTGGCCTCCTGGAGTGAGACACCAGCAACATGTATGCACAGTGCTATCATAATGCAGAACAAGTTTAGCAGATAACTCTACTGAACAAAAGGCTAATGGGAAATGTTAGTTTCTGACATCATATAACTTGCCCCAATAACTGTTATTTAACATTTATATTGTAGTAGTGCCTGGGAGTCAGTGCAACTGAGGCCTCACTCTGCTAGGATGGTACAGACACATAAAAAATAACTGTCTTTGCCCCACGGAATCTACAATCTAAGTGATGAGACATGATAAAGGGGCGAAACAAAGAAGAGAGCCAGAGAGGGGATGGTATAGTGTGGGACATATATAATTTTTAATCAAATAGAAGCAGCGATCACAACTTGCCACCTACCTAGACAATCTGAATAGATTTTCAAGATGACAACAAAAGTCACTACTTTGACCCACAACATTCTCCCTAGCAAATGTCAAAATGCTACTGCAAACTATGAGGACAATATAGTACTAGAGAAAAGCAGCTAGATTTTTTTTCCATAATAAAAATGTGAGGCAATCACCAATGCTCTTCATATAATCAACCATAAACTGCTTGGTAAAATGAATGTATGATTTGGCTTCTCTACCTTGTAACATATATTGGTGTAAATAAGGCAAGGACAATTAAAATTTAAACTAACTCGTCTACCTGGGATGCTCTGTCTCCTCACAGACAATGCTCCTTCAGGTGGCTTTGTCTGGTTTGCAGATTTAGTATAGGGACTCTCATCTGAAAATAAAAACAAAAAGAGGTTTTAGTTTCAAATAGGTTGCAAGAGATGTATTTTAACAATTTCTGATTTAAGTACCAATTTACTTCTTTCCCACAAAAAGGAACAATTTGATTACATACCAGGAACCCTATTAGTCTTTAGGATTGTCATAATGAGCCCCACTCAGGGCACCATTATAAGTACGCCTGCCTCAGCCTTCTTCCTTCTGAGTCCCAAAAAGTGGCCCAAAGCACGTTCCCAACTGAGTTTCATTTAATACACAAGTCTCATACATACAAATCACAACAAAACAAGTCCCATAAATGATAATTCCTCCAGCATAGTGCAAACAGTAGACAGACTAGGGATGTAATAGTGTAGTCTATTACCTGACTAACCAATAAGCAAAAGCTTATCGGTTAATGTTACAGACTACATGGATCCCCTCCCGCTTTGCCAGTACATTTTTTAGAAGGCTGGCCAACAGCCTGGCTCAGTCCTGGTTTGCACCAGGTCCAGGACCTACCCCTGCTGTGGCTGTGCATTTAAAGTGTATTAGGAACTAGGAAGGTAGGCAGTCTGGCTTGCGCCGGGTTCAGGAACTCAGAACCCCACGGACTGGGACTACTGCCACCCTGTACTGCTGCCTCTGTATCAGAGGCAGCAATGTGGAGTGACAGGCAGCTGGTCTACAAGGGGAGCTGGTTTTTAAATTGGCTCCCCTCACGAACCAGCTCCCGTCTGGCACCTTACGCTGCTGTCTCTGGTACAGAAGCAGCAGTGCAGAGTGGCAGGGGGCTCCTAAGAAGTGGGGTTGGAGGCCACTGGTTGCCTGCACCTGAGAACTATAGAATAGTTGAGTAACCGATAAGAATTCATGAGGTTAATTGACTATTCAATTAACCAATATTTAACAACCCTAATATAGACCATGTGACATACAAGCACCACAATCCTTCACCACGCCTTGGTGCTCCAGTGCAGCCCTAGGGTCCCTCCCCACGCTCAAGCACACTCTTGTCATGACCTTGTATTAGGACAGCCACCCCAGCCTTGCCAACTGGAGTACAACTCTACTCTCATGGTTCTTCAAGCCCTGGGACTGTCACCAGCTAATCTCCTCTATTGTTTCCCTCTCTGGCCCAAGGCTCTGGTTCTCCAGCTTCAAGCTGGCAGAAAATTCCCCCCTACTGCTTCTCCTTCTTTCAGTCTTCTCCAGCACTCTCGACGCATCTCTCTGGCTTGGGAATACTAGCCAGCAAACCCCTCTCGCTGCTCTACTTGCCTTCAGCCTTCCCCAAGAAAACACCTTATTCTACCTTCCAGGCCCTCTTCCAGTCCCCTGTTCTCAGGCAGCTCTCACCTGTCTGCACTTGGACTCTCTTTCCTGGCTTCCTTCAGGGACTTCCCCTCACTGGAGCTCTCCTTCAGTCTTTTCAGACCACAAGTGCTGCCCCCATGCTCTTAACTGGCCGGATGGGAACACCTGCTGTGACACAGGGAGCTCAACCTACATTTACAGGGGCCAGCCATTGGGTGACAAGAATGCACAGAATGTCTTTAGCATACTAGCCAGGGCAGTGAGCGAAGCACTCCCTTTCTGAATACAAGAACCATCGCAGGCTACCTCGGAAGTATAAGGATGGGTATTTTTGAATACTCACTCTCTTTTGAACAAAGATGTCAGACTCTAGCTGCGTCAGAGATGAGAAAAGCACTGTGTAAATCTCAGACTGCAGGCAGCCTTACCTTATTCTGACTCAAGTCTAGCTACAAGAAGCTTTAAATGTTCTACTTTAAAAGGACCCTGGGAAATGTGGATTTTCCTCTTTTCACTTGAAGAGTCCTTGCTCTCACTTTAATGCTAGTAGTGGGAGGTCTCCCATCCACATTAGCTGCAAGAAGCCATATATGCCTTTATCATTTTGAGATTCTATAGGAAGACATTCCTTTTGATTTGGGACTCTGCTCACAAAAGACCCCTCTGGTGTTGTGGCCAGTGATCTGAGAGAGTGTCAGCCAGTCATTTCCAGATTCAGCCTGCCCACCACTTTCCTACCCAAAAAGATGACAGTGCACCAGTTAGCAGCGGGCTTGTTTTCATATACAGTGCTGCCTGTCACCAGCTAATCTCCTCTATTGTTTCCCTCTCTGGCCCAAGGCTCTGGTTCTCCAGCTTCAAGCTGGCAGAAAATTCCCCCCTACTGCTTCTCCTTCTTTCAGTCTTCTCCAGCACTCTCGACGCATCTCTCTGGCTTGGGAATACTAGCCAGCAAACCCCTCTCGCTGCTCTACTTGCCTTCAGCCTTCCCCAAGAAAACACCTTATTCTACCTTCCAGGCCCTCTTCCAGTCCCCTGTTCTCAGGCAGCTCTCACCTGTCTGCACTTGGACTCTCTTTCCTGGCTTCCTTCAGGGACTTCCCCTCACTGGAGCTCTCCTTCAGTCTTTTCAGACCACAAGTGCTGCCCCCATGCTCTTAACTGGCCGGATGGGAACACCTGCTGTGACACAGGGAGCTCAACCTACATTTACAGGGGCCAGCCATTGGGTGACAAGAATGCACAGAATGTCTTTAGCATACTAGCCAGGGCAGTGAGCGAAGCACTCCCTTTCTGAATACAAGAACCATCGCAGGCTACCTCGGAAGTATAAGGATGGGTATTTTTGAATACTCACTCTCTTTTGAACAAAGATGTCAGACTCTAGCTGCGTCAGAGATGAGAAAAGCACTGTGTAAATCTCAGACTGCAGGCAGCCTTACCTTATTCTGACTCAAGTCTAGCTACAAGAAGCTTTAAATGTTCTACTTTAAAAGGACCCTGGGAAATGTGGATTTTCCTCTTTTCACTTGAAGAGTCCTTGCTCTCACTTTAATGCTAGTAGTGGGAGGTCTCCCATCCACATTAGCTGCAAGAAGCCATATATGCCTTTATCATTTTGAGATTCTATAGGAAGACATTCCTTTTGATTTGGGACTCTGCTCACAAAAGACCCCTCTGGTGTTGTGGCCAGTGATCTGAGAGAGTGTCAGCCAGTCATTTCCAGATTCAGCCTGCCCACCACTTTCCTACCCAAAAAGATGACAGTGCACCAGTTAGCAGCGGGCTTGTTTTCATATACAGTGCTGCAGCTGTGCTGCTGGAATCCTCTAGCGAAGATGCTACTATGCCAACAGGAAAGCTGTTCCCATTAGCGTAGTTAATCCACTTGCCCAAGAAGCTGTAGCTATGTCAAAGGGAGAAGCCCTCCTGGCCACTGAGGAGTGTCCACAGAGGGGTTAGATCAGTATAACTATGTTATTTAGGGGTGTGGATTTTACTGAGCAATGTAATTATACTGATATAGGGCTGTAGTGGAGACCTGGCCTAAGCGGGATTAAGAGTGATGCTGCTCTTTTGAGAGCCACTGGGATTGGTTGGCAGGGCAGATGGACTATCCATTAAAGACAGACCCAAGTGGAAATGAGTTGCTTTCTACTTCCCCACAACAGCCTTCTCAATGAAAAAAACCAAACAATTTACAGTGCCTTTATATAAAAAGCTGCCAGAGAAAGACTTCAATAGGAACTGTATGTGTCAATTAAGCACTAGTATTGATAGTGTTTACTTCACTTCCTCACTCAAAAGAAAAAATAAAAGGGAATTAGATCCTATTTTGTGGGTCCTTTAATCTTGTTCTCAAAAAACTCTTTATGCATTATCCAATACTTCTATTTGCATACTTTCTCTTTAATTTGGGAATGACCAATTAATTTTTAGCACGTGCGCACAACCATGCATAAATACAGATCAATGGATAAGGAATCAAAGACTATGTTATGTAGTGGGATCTTAAAATGCAACAAAAATTAGTAGATGAATAATATAAACATTTTTGGCAATCCATTTTTCTTTCTTACTGACCCTCTTGAGATTTTTTTCTCTCTTTACTGATTACTGTATTTATGACATGTAAAATCTCAGACAACACTAGAAAACTATATCAAAGAAGGTAAATCATTCATTTTTATTCAGCAAGGATAAGGATTTGGTCAGCATAATTTAAAACCAGGTCTCAGATAGACACTACAAAGAACAGTTCATTTTTTCAAACCACAGATCTTCTACAACAAATTCTTCTTACCGAGTCTACCTTACAAAGTGGAAAAACTTCTGCACACTGGCAACAAGGCAAAAGGCTGTTGTACAGCCATGCCCCTGGAAGGGAACTGAACGAATAATTAAAAACATCTTAGTATATCAGGTCTGCAAGATATCATTGCTTTTACTATAGTAAGATTAATTTAGATTGCCATAGAAGTATAGTCATAATAAGAAAGGTAACCTCTGCTATACTGCATAACAGCGATGGGGAACCTCAGGCCCAGGGGCCGGATTCAGCCCTCAGCTTGCCTGGATCTGGCCCCTGAGGCTCAGGCCCCCCCCAAAATTGGGAAGCCTATGCTGGTACTCCAGCACCCCATTGCCTCTTTGGGGGTTGGAGTGCACAAAATCTACTAGGCTGGGCTCCCCTAGGCTCTGTTGCCGGCACACAGTGCCCGAGGGGGGCAACAGCTGGGTTCGTTGCCCGGTGTGCGCACTCTAATAAACACACCGGTGTGGAGAAGCAAAAAAAGTTTATTTGAACGTTCAAATAGGTGCGAGGAGACTAGACATCTCAGATCTAGCACACTAACGTAAGCAGTTTTCTTTCTTTATATACTCAGGTTGTTTACTTGCAGGAGAATAGTGAACTGTAGCGAGGTTCTTACGCTGGGACATGTTTCTCTTCTTCTTCCTTTACAGAAACACATCTGAATTCTTCTTCTGTATTACTGACAGTAACTAAGCAACTTCAAGGTCTTGCTGTTCCTAGCTGTTAGGGAGCTAGAGAAAAGTTATGCTTGGGGGAGGGAAGGGGAGGAAAGGAGGGGGAAGAGGGCTTTTAAGGTGCTTGGGCTTAGATCAGGGGGGGCTTCATCAATCTTTGTGATCTTCTACTCTCCTGAGTTACCTAGGATCATGCTTAGTGACCCT